GAGGTGGACGCGGCGCGGCCTCTTGGGAGCAGGATGCGGCGGTGCGGCTGCTGGCGTTGTTTTGCCGCTAGTCAGTTTGCACACCTGGTGAGTGGGTACGCAGGCGGAGCGGGTCTGTGGTTTATTGGACCAACTCCATCAAAAAATCGCCTTCACTTGGCAAAGCCTCCAGGTGGGCTGGAGCACGACCCTCCGGCGTTGCTCAGCCCGCCGCCCGAAGAGCCTGCGTTCGCCCCACAGCTGGGTGACGCATGTGTCTCCGCGGTGTGGCCCAGCCACAGGCCTGGGGAGAGGGGGTGGGGGAGGGGAGGAGTGTTTCTATCGCAGCGCAAGTCGAGTCCAAGTTTACCTTGTCGCCACCACTGCCATCATTATTGATGCTGAAAATGACAGCCACTATTCATTGTTAGTTTACCGCCTCTATAAAACGCCTTACTTGGATTATCTCATTCTGATTCACAACTATTGTAAGGTCCAATAGTCCTTATGAACCTGGTATTACAGGTACGGAAACCAGGACTGACGTTGGTTAAGTGACTTCTTCAAGGTCACACAGTTACGCATAGTGAGACCACTGTGAAGCCTTAAGCACTGGGGAGAAAGGGGTGTGTGTGGGGGGGTGACCTTTAGGCACTGGAGGTCTTATCTGGCAGAAGGAGTGGAAGCACTTTCCTCTCTCAGAAGTCCAGAGGAGGGATGAGCTCTTAAAAGATGCATTTGGGGGCTGAAGGTAGGTCTCCATCTGAGTTTGGTGCAGGCAAGGGGCTACCTTTATACCTGTCCACTGGGACTGGTGGAGTCCTGAAAGACCTGCTGTGTGCAGCCCAGTGCTTGAGGCAGGTTCTCAGTGAAAGCACCAAAGGAGGTGGCAAAGTTCAATGTGGTGAAAAAATTCCCATATGTTTGCATAAGGATGGACAGCAGCTGGAGGAATGTGTCAAAGGAAGAGAGGGCTGGGCCCGCTGGCCTTCTCTTGGAAACAGGCGTGTTCCAGATGAAACTGAGGAGGGGGCAGGGGACCTTTTGGTAGATTTACAGCTGGAGAGACTGGCACTGAAGTATGGAAATCTCCTTTCATTTATGTCTTCGTCCTCTGCTTGGACACTTCCGCCAAGAAGTCCTCCAGCATCCTGCCAAGATAAACAAATCCTTCCTCCTTTGGGCTCCCGTAATGTGTGTGTATCCTGTGGTCTTGACTTTGAATTATGAGCTAGGTCCTCGTTTCCTCATTTCCATACAAGGTGGTAAGGTCCTTGAAGGGAGAGGCCTGCCTCTCTCCCCAGACTTTGCTTGAAATCAACACCTTGCCTCATTGCCTGACAAGTGTCCTCACCTGTAAAGTGGCTTTTTTTTTGGGTGAGTATCATGTAAGCTAAAATATGACGCGTGTGCAGAATAGTATTAAGTGCTCAATAAAGATAAATTATTATTTTTTAAATAATTATTTTATTTAGCTTTCTCTCTCTCCCTCTCCCCACTTCAGTTTGACCAGAAAGGGGTTGGGGGGAGAGAGAGAAAGTCAGAGCAGCAAGTCCCAGGTTTGGGACTCAAACTGCGGTCAGCCGTGTGGGAGTCTAGAGCCCTTAACCATCAGGCCACCTGCCAGCCCCTAGCTTTATTTATTTTAATTTGACCAGAGAAGAACAGAGTGTGACCAGAGAAGAACAGAGGGACAGAGAGAGAGAGAGAGAGAGAGAGAGAGAGAGAAGGAGAGAAAGTGAGAAAGCAAGCCAGGTCCAGGACTTGAACCGTGGTCAGCCATGTGGGAGTCTGGTGCCCTTAACCACCAGCCCCAGAATTATTACTGTTATGTTTGCGTTTAATTTGAGCAGTTCATTCTCCCCCCACTCCCCACCCCCAATATGACTGAGGGCAGGTGTGCTTGCCAGGGAGTGAGGCAGAAAAAGTGAGAGAGGTGCAAAAGAGCACCCCTCCCTCCCATGGAGTATGGCCATGCTGCAATCTCTTCTTCATTTCTCCCTGTTTTGGAGACTTTTGGCACATACGTGCATGTTTCAAGTCACTGGGTTCTGGGACTCGAATCATGCTGTGGGCCTTGTGGGATCCTGTTGCCTTACCTCACAGGCTTGTAACTTGTCCCAAGCAGTTATTTATTACTAAGACAAGCATTTAATGTCAATGAATTACTATGGCTTGATAGAGCCAGAGAGGAACTATGGTGTCAAAGCATTTGATGAGAGCATGGGAGGTCATAGTTCAGGGCTGTTTGGAGAAAGGGTGGCAGAAGGATAGGTAGGGATACCTGCCTGTCTAGAGGAGTGTCTGGTAGGTCTAATGGGTCCTGAATGGGAGCTTGTTCCAGTGCGCAAAGTGTTGTAGATGGCTGAGCCCCCTCCTTATACCCGTTATCAAAGACCTGGGAAGTATCCCAGGGCTGCCTTATCATAGAACTTAGGGTTGGTGAGATAATCAAGTGGGTTTAGAATCAGACACCTCTGAGTTGAAGGGAAACCGAAGAGCTTCCAAGCATTAATTCCCATTACCCAAGACCATTTTGTGTGCACAGGACTTTCATAGCAGGGGAAAGTGTATGTGTGGACATGAATTTACTTCTAATAGGATAGAAAAAAGGCTGATCAGGGAACTTAAATGTCTTGGAATCCACTACAGTGTGAAAGTTAACTGTTTCCAAGGACCAGCAGGTGGCATAGAGGTTAAGTTGTTGGACTCCCACATGGCCAACCACGGTTTGAGTCCTGGACCTGGTGGCTTGCTTTCTCACTTTCCCTCTCTTAGTCTTTGTCTCTCTCTGGTGAACACACATGCCTTATAGCAAATTAAAT